TAAGCTGGTTTGCTGTTCTTGGATCGTTTATGACACAGTTTGTTGTTATGGGAATCCACAATGTATTTGGCTTGTTGTACCTTGATCTGTTGACTGAGTTTGGAGAAAGTAAGGCGACTACAGGTAAAAAGGCCATTCCTAACCTTCCTTCACGAGTTTCAAACAGAATTTTTGCCTTCACTAGATTCTTTAGCAGTCAGGATGTCAGGGAAAGGTTTTTTAACTTCCCAAAGAACGGCTGCAAAAGAGACCATGCTTCCACTGACTACGTTTAGGATTGAATAAATGGATTTTTCTGAGAGAAGATGCGATTTCTATAATTTCTTCCTTCCTATATTGAAAAGAAATTCTCAGCTCCTCTTAGGGTTCCTTTGGCTTCAAACCCAGACCCCAGGGAGTGCAAAGTGAGCAATTTTTTAATTCTTGGGTTTCAGTAAAACTTAGCTCAATATTTACTTATTTCTATACAGCGTGGATAGCCTCGATCTCATTTGGCCTCACTTTCGTCTTGTCACCTCTGAGCTGCTTTTTGTGTAAACGGTTTGGTTGCAAAGCGGTCACCGTACTTGGTGGAATATTGGTCGGGATTGGTCTTCTACTATCTTCCTTCGTCGACAACATCTTCCGAATGTACGTCACGTACTCGTTCCTGTTCGGCATGGGTTCTAGCATGTGTTACGTGTCCTCGGTTCTCGTTCTCAGTGGCTACTTCTCCAAGAATCTGGTTGTCGCTAATGGCATTGGCCTGGCTGGAGCTGGTGTTGGAACAATTACACTTGCGCCCGCACTCAGCCTGCTGCTGGATAATTTTTATTGGCGCGATGCACTTCGCATTCTCAGTGCAACCTCCTTGCTCATCCTGATCAGCGGTTTAATTTTCTATCTTGTGCCCGCGCCGTTGGAATTTAGCGATGCCGAGAAGTATGATACGGAAGAGGAAACGAAACGAATCGACTTATCCTTCTTCAAGAACAAAGCTTACATCGTGTGGACAGTCGTTGTTGGATTGGTGTTGTTCGGGTTCTATATACCATACGTACACTTGGTAAGTGAAACTTAATTGTTCACTCTGTTGAAAACTGGTCGAAACATATCATTCCTTACTCCTCGGAGCTCATTCCCCTGAGTTTATTTCGATGCATTTTTCCTCGCTGATTGCTTCAGCAAAATTAACGTTATATCCCTCCCTCTGGAAATTTCTTTCAATTTGCATTCCATAAAGCAAAGGGGTTGGCCTTGGGAAAGGGCGGGAAACAAGTGGCTGGAAGCGGGGGAAAATGGCTAAAGGTGGTTAGAAAACTGGATCACCTGCTTGGCTGCAATATAGCGATATTTTTATTGGAGGGAACCATTATGTTACCACTCCAACTTAATTACGATGTTCTTTAACGCAAGGTGATACGCACTTACACAATTTGTAACACCATTGCGATGCCAATTCCTGCGGTAAAGAGAGGATTTATCTCCATCTAGAACAAGCCATTCTTGATACGCTTTTTAATCTCTCGCAGGTCCGGCATGGGCAAGACCTTGGAATTCGAAAACAAGACAGTGCTGTCTTGGTTGGCTACATGGCGATGTCCCAAACACTCGGAAAGATCGTGTTCGGTCGAATTGCAGACCATCCTCGTGTGAATCGTGTGTACCTCTACCAGCTGTGTCTACTTGTGTGCAGTGTTCTCACCACTCTCCTCCCTGTTTTCACTACCTACAGATCTTTATTAGCATACTGTCTCGTGTTTGGCTTTCACGATGGTTGTTTTGTCGTCCTCATTGCCGTCCTCACGGGGGACATAGTTGGGCGAAAGATGATGGGGACAGCTTACGGTGTCATGTTTTTCTTCACCGGCATTCCAATGATGCTTGGGCCTCCAGTAGCGAGTGAGTACTTTTCATGGCACCTTGTACAATCTACAGCCACAAACCCTTTCACCCCCAATATCTCCTTATTAATTCTCCTCACTGTCTGCCATACAATTCCTATGATGTTAGTTCTGAGAACTTCGTATTGGATCAACCTTCTCTCTTTTCTTTGCTTTTGTTTCCCTATGTGCCCGTTAAGAACCAGAAACTTCCAAGAATCTTTTGTTTTCTCTCAGTGTTCGAACGATAAGGAAACGCTTAGAAAATAGATTTTTAACTGTCACAAATTTCACCCGAAAAATTTCCGCTTTGAGAAAATTGATAAATTTTTGTCAACAGGTTGGATGTATGCAATTTCCAAAAGTTACGAGCCTGCATTTTACATGGCCGGCGCTTTCACGACACTTGGAGTATGCCTGTTATTTCTGGTTCCTTTCCTACTTCCACCGGAAGTGGAAGAAGAGTTGCGCTCGCGTGCGTATGGTTTTCGGCAACGTATCCAATCATCTACTTCAAGTGAGGCGACAAGATCATGGACTCTAGACTCTGGGTCGTTTTATTCTGAATCCGAAAGGGGACTGGAAGATTACGAAAAGAAAGACTTGACAGTACCATTGGTAGAAAATGTCTTGGAAAGTGATATTTGCAAGAGACAATCCACTGACTCAGGACTTGGTTTTATCCTTGAAAAGTACTTCTCAATGCCAAAGTTAGAAAATCAAAAGGAATGCATTCTGGGAAATTATAGTGACTGTGCTAATGATGTTTGGATCCACTTACTGGACCCAAACAGAGAGACCATAGTTTAACATTTTTAAATTAAATAATCTATTTATCTTAATTTCAAAGGAAAAATGTCTTTTTGAGCAAGGATGTACGGACAAGAATTTGTCTTCGGAGGAGCGAAACATTTAAGAAATCAGCGATCACAAAGGCGCCCAAAACACAGAGGCCACGAGACGGCAATCTAATTGGGATAGCCTCGTGCTTACCATTGTAAGAAACACTTCGCTTTCAATGAAACGTTTTAGTTTCAAACTCAAACTGTTTAGTCGCATTTTTCAAATTTTTCTCGTGATTTGTTCACTTTTTTGTTTGGTTATGAAAATTCGATTAGACACATCGCTCTTTTTTGCAGAGCGAGAGAGGAAACGTTGAACGCCGTCGATGAACTTTGATACCAAAATTATTTATTGTTCACAATAAGTTTGTCGACGACAAAGCCTTAAAAAGAGACAGAGTTTGTCTCTGAAAGAGGAAATTCACAGTTTACCAGGTTACGCTTGTCACGTCTTAAACAGTGAATGTCTTACGTTAGAGAGGCTGGCGAAAAGGGAAAAGGATTTTTCGCGCAGGTAGGAGAGTAAGAAACATCAAAATAATCCAACATAGAAAAGTTAGATAAACAGATTTGGTTCACTTTTCCAACAAAGGCGAATAAAATTTACCTGTTGAGAGATCCTTGACTGTCCGTCATTTTGTTCTTTCTCGGTGTGGTAAGACTTTTAACTCCTAAGATCTGTTCCCCTCGCTACTTACCAAAGGAATAGGTTTCTTTATCGAGATGGCACCCTCTCGGTGATATAATTGCGTCTTCTCAACAATTCTCTCAATAATACATTGATATCGGAAGAGTTATATTTTAAGTACTCACCTAGGCTAGAAGATGAAATTTTCTAAGAAAGAGTTCATAGCTGTGGCACAGAATCAAGACAAAACATTTTCTCGTTTAATGACGTGAATCGTGAAGTTTAAAACACGCGACGAAACGATCTACACCTCGGCAATAAAAATCATAAACTTGAGTCAGATTTTTGTAGTTTCTTGAAGTCGAAGGAGCTAAATGTTTTCACTCGCGCTTTGCCGAAAAGTAGCTTTCTCTTTTCTTGACCGTGAACATCTAGTGTTTAAGAGATCTAAAGGCGAAGAGACATTATGACACTTCGTATATCGTACGTGCTGCTCTTATTGAAAAGGGCCTGGAGACTAGTTAATTGCAAAAGAGGTGTTCCGGATGCACCAGAACTGTGCGCACGCAGAAAAAAAGTATTTGAAGAAAACTTCGTTTACAAACTTATCACTGGGAGAATTCGTTTGCTTTTTAAAATCCCTTCGAAAGACTCATTATACAAGACGAGAACAAGAATACTTTACGACCACAAAAATGTCTCTGGATTTCAATTGAATAATATATACTGATTTACTGCGAATATTTAACAGTTGAATGAAAGAGAAGGAGGAAAATGGCATCTTCATTTTCGCATAGTTCGTTTTAACTTATTGCGATGTTTCAAAAGAATAGTAAGATTTCAGTCATTGCTGTTACAGACAGTTCCTTCGTTTTGCGTCAATCTGTCTTGCAGTTTTGTGGGAGCGGTTTTGTGTGCCCTTTGAAGCATCAAGCGAAAGAGCCATGAGAAGTATGGAACGGATATAAAAGTTTACTTCCTGCAGCTCCGCACAAAAAAATCAATGGCGACGAACTAGCATCAAACCGCATTGTCTCTTTGCACTCGGGAAGGAAACAAATCATAACATCATCTTTACGTGCAAACTGCAACTTTCAATCATTAAAGGAAAAAAATTTTCAGGCTTTGACGGGAATTCGCAACCGTGCCATGCGGATACTGGTTGACAACTATGTACTACCAACATAGCTGTGAGGCCACAAGTTAGGAGTGGAGCGAATTTAAAGGGGTCCTTTGTTCGCCTTAAAGAGGTCTGGTCGCATTCTGTAAACATGACATAAGTCATAAACTGACCTATAGATAAGACAACGAGTGACGAATTCATCATATTTGGTCTTGATAGTGCTAAGATAGGCACGCAGATCTTGAATGACCATCTAAAGAAAGGCGGCAAAGGAGACAGAATGCCTCTATGCCTGATTTTGCATGAAGACCTTAACAAGGAAGCTCCAAATTTCCTACAGCTAAGTAGAAGGAAAAGACACTATCTTATCGATCGATCGATCCTCCATTGAAAGAAAGAGGTTCAAATTCAAAATCTCTCAATTTATAGTAATATTAATTTTGAGAAAGTTACTTAAAAAGTAACGTGCTCGTCCCGCGCGCTACATCCTCACGGAAGGGGACTAGGCCTTGCTAGACCCAGACCCAACAACAATCTTGGAGTTGCTCGGATCAGTCATTTTGAAAATGGCGGGTATCGTGAATGTCGATGAATTGGAACATTTGATCGGAATTATGTAACGATAAAAGTTTTACACGGTTTTGAGAGGTCCAATGGCTTCAGGTCCCGCTAATGATGACCTTGAAGTTGTAGAAATTGTTACATATGATCGAAATGATCGTGAAAATGAGAACGTCGTGGAGTCGGAGGACGAGTCGGATCGCGAAGAACAAGAGATGGAGGTGGACGCGGGCGAAAATGAACAAGAAAACGAACGCGTTCAGCAATCAAGCGAGGAAAATAACATGCCAGATGTATCAGAGGTGCAGTCGTCGATTCAAAATGTGACGCCGGCGGTCGCCAGAAATGTACAAGTTCTTGGACTGTCAGAAGTGAATTCCCCAGACGAGTTTCAAAAAAAGTCATCAAAAACAACCACTAAAAACATTTCTGCGACAGCGAAAAATACTAGGTTACCGGTTAAATCACCCGAGAAAGATGACGATGTAAGTTTTTCTCAGTCTGAGCCTAGACTAACAGCAAAATTATAGCAGACATTTTGCGTAACAAGATAGTCATTGACATTTCGTGATCTCGCGGAAACGACCCCCTCCCTCCTTATCAATGTTGTTAGCTGACTATGTCCATGTTCACAACTTCGATTAGAAAATCTGAATTCAGGACAAGGAGGGTGGATGTTAGTCTGCGCTGCCGATCTTTGATGGCTATAGATTTTGGTGAAAAGCTGGTTTTACCTGAACTCTCTGAAAAAATTTCATCCGGTTGTAAACTATTTTTAAACAATTTTTAAATACAGTAGCTTTTACCTTAGCTGGTCTGTCTTTTTATGACATGATGGCTGTCTCAAGTGTGTGTGACATCATGTGTACTACTTAATGGTAATTTTTCTCTCATGTCTTTTAGTCCCAAAGTTGTCCAATTTGTTTTGAGCCTTGGTCAAACTCAGGTTCTCACAGGCTATCATCTCTCACTTGTGGGCATCTCTTTGGAAGAAGGTAAATGTTTTGATCACATGGAGGTATATGTAGTGAAAAGTTCAATAACCATCTGCTGTTGAGGCATTGAGCTCGAGCTGAGAGTCTCCTCCTTTGATGGATCTGGACCAAACCCAATAAAGTGGTAAAAATGGATCCCAAGTGAATGGTTTTAAGATTTGTATGATTTAGTGAATGAATTTATTTATGACAAACTAAAAATTATCCTACATATACATACATACATGTATATATATATATATATATATATATATATATAGTTTTTTTTTTCCTGAAAGCTGCATCGAAAGATGGTTAAAAGCCAAGGGAGGAAATGATAAATGTCCACAGTGCAATGCACCAGCAAGAAAAAGAGACATAAGAAATATTTACACAAAAGCCATTAAGGCTATTGATACAACAGAACGTGACAGGGCACTGGCAGATCTGGAGAAGGAGAAGGAAGCTCGACAGAAGGCAGAAGAGAGAGAGGCTCGTGCATTGCTGCAATACCAGTTGGCAAAAGCTGAATGTGAGAGAATTGTCGAACAACTCAAAAGACAAGAGCAGCTGGTTGTCAGTTTACAAAGGGAAAGGTAAATGATGAAGGAGACATCAGTGCATAGTGCATGACTGGGTATCTTAAAGTTTTAGGCTTGTTAGTAGATTTTTGCATAATGCATGAATCCTATCCTTAATCTTAGGATAGATGATGAAGATTGATCTAGTGCCATTGTTCCAATAAATACTTCCTCTCTAATAAATGCCCTCCCCTCAAATCTGTTTTTGTGTCTGAGTGCCCCTATTTAAATAAGTGCCCCTATTGCATAAGCACCTTAATTCAAAAGAGTGTTCCTTGTACCAAGAAGAGCCTGTATTCTGATTTAGTGATCTGATGGCAGTGCTGTTAGGACTCTGTTAGAGTACATGTGCATTAAGATCAACCGTGGTCACCTTCCTCTAATTTTACACTCTAAGTCTTCTTGCAAAATAATGGTCCCTTTCTCAGTCTGTTAACTTTTATGTCCATGTTGGTACTGTACTTTTGTTTCAAATAATGAACCCAAAGAGCAGGTCATGTTTTTGTTCCTGGTGCTGCTTTTTTTTCGGTTGGTTTAAACTGAAGAAAATTGAAATGACAAAATGTTTCTTGAATGAGCCAATCAGGTGTCAGAATGAAAAGTAACCGCAGGCAACAATGGTAATTAGTTTGGTGTGGTACAAGGTTTGTTCGTAAGTCCTGAACTTTATTCCAATTTGCTATTTGCAATTGACTTACTGGAATCAAAACAAAGTTTTCACCTGATCATATTGCTCTGCACCTTTGATTTCGACTCAGACTCTGTTGTAACTGAAAACCAGGGTTTAGTTGTTGATCATTTTCTCTACTCTTGTGACCTCAAATGTGTGATTCAGGGGTGATATAGTAAGGAGAAATTAAGTGCTAGTCACTCTTGAAGGTTAAAAGGAGAGTCTTTTATTAAATCTTCAGGTCCAGCTCGTGCTCTCAGTGCAGCTCAGAATCTCAGGGGGCATCAACAGCTGTAAGAACATTTGGGCAGAGCACCTCTAGTCAGAGGTTACTGTCAAGGAAATCATATGTTCTACAAACGTCTTTTCAAGTTTCACAGGTAAAGCTTGAATTACATTTACATGTATGTGCCACTTCTACATGTGAATACAGTAATAGACTCATTTGGAGTGTTAGCCCTTCATAAGAGCAATTGGAGGAATTGTGGGTTGTGTATAGGTTTATATGCAGAAAATGGAGCTACTTTATTGGTGGGAATATGGTGACAGAAACAAGAATAAATTAGTTAAGTGAAAAGTGCTCATTGATACCATGGGGATTAAGAGTGCTAATATGAAAGATAAATTTTTGTTCTAGAGTTTTGTGGCTTTCCGTACTGCCTAGATATAGCAAAAGGCCCCAAACTGCCATATGCTGCTTAGAATGATCAGGGAAATTAAAGTGTCTAGTGACTGGTTTGGATGTGTCCTTGTCATTTCTCTCTACATCACAAGGGTGTTCTTGGAATTGGTCACCAAGTCATCTTCCCGTTTCACCAATGTATAACTTTTTGCAATAATTAAGTGCAAGTTATATAGTACATGACATTAGCAGAGGTGTACGTGAAGTGATCAATGATCTTGATGGATCTCTTGGCCAGAAAATGTTGGAACCTGAGAGATAGATGTAACTTTACTTTTCTGTCTGTTGCACCATCAGAGCTAAGAATTTGTATTATCTGGCCAATGTTTGACTTATTAGTAAGAGTAATACTATCATTTCCTCTGACTTGTTTTCACTAGAATGGAGCAAGAGTGATTTCTTTTGATCAACACCATGCTGTACTAGTTGTGTCCAAGCCTTCACCAAACCAGCTCTTTCCTGGATTTGGTGTGGTAAAGGTATGTAAAAGACTCTGGGATTATTACTAACAGTATTTAATTTTATGCTATCTCATATTTTACTATATAGCCTGCTAATTCAAAGGCAGCTTGTTTGAATTGAAATCTTCTCCTTGTATGTTAACTCAGGTAAGGTAAGGTAAGGTAAAGTAAATATCTTTTCTTAATAACCTCAACTCCTTAGTCTTTACTGTGATTTTTAGAATCTTGTTCTTTTCTCCTGGATTTATGATTTGTAAACTTCACTTGAGTTGATTAATTATGCTATGCAATCTTTTTACATTCAGTAGAAACTGTAAGACTTGAAATGAAAAGTCTATGCATTAAATCCAAGGTGACTTATAGCCAACGGTCTCACCGTCTCACCTTTCCAGAACATGTTTATGTACTTGTTTTATAAATTTTTCTTTAATATATTTGTGCAAATTTAGGTGAGCTCTTTAGATTCAAAGCATTGTGAGTTTGTGCGCATTCACCAGAAGGCCGTCCGTGATGTGGCATTTAACAACAGAGGTGATGGTTTATTGTTGACAGCAAGCATGGACAAGACTGTCAGGGTCACCAGTATGCTGAGCAATGCTGTTGTACAGACGTGAGTGGAGTAAAGAGTATTAAGAGAAAAAAGAATTAGTACTTAGTGCAATTTTTTATGTAACAAGTACATGTAGGTTCCATG